TTTAGCAAATGGCTGCAATATAACAAAGAGTGAAAAATTTAAGGGGGTCTGAATACTTTCCGTACCCACTGTATGTACTGTGTTTTATATCTATTATGTTTACATAAATACACACCCATACAGTATATATTTTGAAAATATTTACATGTATATATTTATATTCATATAATTTATATTATATATATAAATATTTAATATATAAACAACATATTTTTGTATGAATCTATATATACGCACAATAAATATAACAAAGTACACACATATATTATGCAAACAAAAACTTTTATTTTGAAGAGTCTGCTGAGTTTTCCATTGGCAAGCAGCTTCTCTGATTAGTGGATGTCTCTCTGCAGGATTATGGCTAGAGTAAATCTTTACCTGCAATTGAATTGCCCTCGTCCCTTGAACAGATTTTCTTTGTTTGTCTCTGGTCAGCATCTCAGAAAACTAATATTTCTTACTGTTAAAACTGAAATGATGGAACGATAAGAGGAGTAAACTGCACAAGAGCCATAAAAACCGTCCCATAGAGCACTAAATACAGATTCATTTGTTGGTGCTGATCACAACCTGCTTGTGCAGTGAATTACTGGCTTGAATTCTTGAAAACTAACCTATTCAATAATAATGTGTAATGCTGGGCCTGTTTAGTTCATGGTAGTAGTAGTATATTTTTTATTTAATACCATGTCAGCATCTTAGGCTATTTTCATGCAAAAACAATAAAAAAAAATACAAGTATGTTTAGTTCATGTTAATAGTTTAACTGATGTTCACATCTTTTGGAACTCAAAACTAGGGCTGGAGGATTTGTTAAAACTAAAGAAAATCTGACTGCAAAATGTTCAATGTTGCTGCTATAAAATAGGCATAACATCTGTCTTCTTTTGGCATTCACACTGTACATGGACTTGAAAGTGAGTTCAGACCTTTTTTTTTCCTTCTCCATCTACTTTTAACTAATTATTTTTTGGAACCTAAGTCCACCTGAACATTAAACAAAAATACTGTAAATAAGACGATTATTATTGAGCACCTGAGATGGTGTTTTTCTGAGCCGACAAGTGAACAAACTTAGTAAAAGTGAATACATATATTCACTAAGACTCTCTGCTATGTCACACAAACGAGATGTTCTTGCGACTGTCAATGTTAACATGTTATACAATAATGTGCTTAATTAATCAATGGCTTAATTTAAGGCAGAGCAGTGATTAAAAAAAAAAAAAACATTATAGGGTTCATAAGGTGTGTGTAAAAATAGCTACATTATTTAATCCACAATATTTTTACATTCCACATTCTTGTGGTACAAGCCAAATAATTGTAAATAATTCAGCCAAAGAGAGAGGAGGAAAGTGTTTGGGAAGCCCGTTGAACACAATCATCATAGTTACAATCCTGTACTAATGGTCCAGAAATTATACACTAAGGCTACTTTAATACAACAAGAAATTCATCTGTTCTGAATTTCCTCGTGCAATATGTAATACTGTTATGAATTAAGACTTTAACAAGTTTAGTGGCCCCACTACTATTGTTTACATCAGTTGCATGCTATTACCATGATTAACTGTGTGAAGGGTTTAAGACTCCAGCTTCAGTATTTGACCACTGATTACTATATATATATATATATATATATATATATATATAAAAAAAAAAAACATTACAGAGACAGCAATTTCTTAATTTCTGTCAGAAGTGCAAATTATTAATAAAAAATAATAAATTAAGGTATTTTTGAATGATTTTGATGAGATACAGGATGATGTATTTTGAAAGTATCTGAAGAAATGATGGAGGAAAAAAAATGTCGGCAATCAGATGTAGACGTCTGCATCTGTGTTATTGCTGTGCAAATTTATTCCCGGCTTGGCTGTATTAATTAATAGTAAACGATATAAATTAAAAATAAAGAATGAATAAAATCAGATTTAAATAATACATGAAACACTTCAGTATATTCATAAAAAAATGTTAAAGCCTTAACAGGAGATCATGCATTTCATTTAAGTCTTTTAAGTTTAAAGTGAATAAATGAATTCTTGAATGTTTTGAAGGGTTAATTGTGTATTATAGTAAGTTTACACTGTAACTGACAGGAATAAAACAGATGTTATTTTCAATTACTTATCATAAATAAATCATTATTGACCAACCAAAATCTGTACAGCCCCAGCCAGTAACAATGTTTTAATTCAGACTTAACCCTGAACTGAAACCTAAGTCTGACTGGTTCATAGTAATGTTGTTCCAGGACCAGCAAGGACACAGATCCAGGAGCGTGTGCTTTTTGTGTAAATCATGAGAAGTGTGACTCCAGGAGTGTGTGACAGACATGTGTCCTGTGGCTCTTTAAGTCAACTGTGTCGCCGTTATGAAAGAATCTGGGTCACATTCTCGTGACACCGGAGGAAATGTGTACAACTTGCCGAAAACCAATCACAAAGAGTACTTCTTCATTTAAAAGCATGAGATGCAGTGGGATGGGGAAAAACCGCCATAAAGTCTCAAGACATGTTTTTTAAAAGTTGAACTTGCATTAATTTTACATGGCTTTCTAAACATGCGGCTCTCTTGTGCGAGACACGAGTGCAACGCTGATAGATGCCCCTCTTGAAAATGCGATAAATATGCATTCTGTGTGAACGGCTTGGTTTCAGTTTTGACGTAAACAACATCTTTTCCACACTGATGTTCTCTTTCCGCAATATTTTGAATGAACAACGTAGCAGCGCCGCATCTAGTGGGTTCACCTGGATAAGCTATGAAAAGCATTAAAATGCAACGACACTCACATTGTCATCGCATCGTGTGTCGATAAGGCTGCCTAGCGCACACCTAACATTCGAACGCAATGTGGATTTATATTCTAAATTCAATGAACATTCGAAATTTGAATTATTTTTTGACAGCCCTAGAAGGGAGTTTCATAGCTTTCAGTTGATGTTAGCCCTGAGGTCATCTTTACACTGCAAAAACTGACGTGATTTTAACGGTAAAAGACTGTAAAATGCTACAGTAAAACCTATTAATTGGTTAACGGTAAGTTCCCCTACTGTATTCTGTGAAATTGGTCATTGCATGTAATTTTACGGTAGCATACAGGTAATAAGATATGTAATAAAGGAGGACAGAGCAGCAGAGGAACACTCACAGTTTGTTGCCCTTCAGAGCGGCGTGCTGCAGCAGGTTGAAGCTGCGGTTGTTCTGCTGCGTGAAATCAATGTTGGGCACCACAGTCAGGATCTCAATGATGCTCCTGAAGTCTTTGGCAATGGCGTCATGTAAGGGTGTATCTCCATATGAATCCTGACAACACCAAATTACTGCTGTTAGTGAACACTGCTCAATCTAGTTTTCACAAATGTGACCCTGGAGCACAAAAGCAGTCATAAGCATCACAGGTATATTTGTAGCAATAGCCAACAATACATTGTATGGTTTAAAATGAACCAAATATTGTCCTATCCTAACAAACCATACATCAATGGAAAGCATCAGCTTTCTCAGCTTTCAGATGATGTATAAATCTCAATTTCAAAAAATTGACCCTTATGACTGGTTTTGGTCACATATTCTAATTTTACAGAAATGTTAAAGGGATATGCCGCCCCAAAATGAAAATTCTCTCATCATTTGCTCATCTTTGTTTTCTTTTCTAAACTCTTTTTTTTTTTTTTTTTTGTGAACTGCATCACATGGACTCAGAGATGGACTTGGAGGAGATGGGAACTTTTATACAGTACTGTTGTCTAGATTCCAGATCTGCTTATTCACCCTTTCAACCTTCAAGTGCTGAAGCAGTAGCCTTTCAAGTCCAAAGGTTTTTCGGATCGGGAGAAACATGCAAACGCTGCACTTAAGAACTGTGCATTTACTGAAAACATGTTTAGATGAGTTATGAGTTTAGCATGTATGGGATGATAATGCATGATATAATATACTATTAATAGAAAAACATCCTTTTGCTGAATAGGTGCCATTAATCTCAAATGTAAAATATAAAATTAAATATAAATACAATGTAAATGTAGCCATTTGACAATTTAGTTGTTTAAAAAAAAAAAAAAAAATCAACCAACCATGAATTCAGATGGAATGATTCTGCCTGTAGGTTATAATTAATACTGAAGATGTCTGAAATGAAACTCTTTAAGTTTGGACTTTTTAAGTAATAAAAGCACCAGAAGCAACACGCCACCTTCTGCACTGACATTTTTCCCATTAACATAAAAACAACAGAGTTCACAAATCCCCCATTAACGAACATGCATAAAAAAATCCAAGGTAAAATAAAATCACACTATTATCCAATCACAAAAAAAACTACATCAATTAAGGCAAGGCAAGGCAAGGCAAGTTTATTTATATAGCACATTTCATACACAATGGTAATTCAAAGTGCTTTATATAAAAGAAAAGAAAAAAATAATCACAACAATAAAACAAGGAATTTAAAAACTTTGAAAATGATTAAATCATTGATTTAAGAGGTTTAAAATGAATTTAAAAATGGTTAAGAATAGAAAACGATTATACATAAAATAGGACTCACAGAGATGGAAACTTTTGCACTTTTGTCTCCTATAACTTTTGAACCCGTACTGAATGTGTTTCAGTGTAAGCTGGACGCTTGCTGGCTCTGCACTTTTCGTATATTTATAATTTAAAAAAATGAGAATTATATTTTAGCAGAATTTGTTTGCAAAAACAATATCTAAGCAGCGCTGAAGCAGTAGCCTTTCAAGTCCAAAGGTTTTTCGGATCAGGAGAAACATAATACTGCCCTTAAGAACTGTGCAGTTACTGAAAACATATTTAGATGAGTTATGAGTTTAGCATGTACAGGATGATATTGCTTTATTTAATATACTATTAATGGAAATAAAGAAAAACATTATTTTGCAGAATATGTAAAATATAGCTGATATCATTTTTAATGAATTTGTTTTTAGCAAAGGGTGTCATTAATGTATAATCTAAAATTAAATATTAAATATAAATGTAAATTTAGTCATTTGAAAATTTAGCTGAAACAGAACCGACTATGAATTCAGATGGAAATAGTCTGCCTATAGGTTATAATAAATACTGAAGATGTCTGAAGTAACTCTTCAAGTAATAAAAGCACCAGCAGCAACACGCCACTAGGGCCATTTGCACTGCCATTCTTCACATTAACATAAAAACAATAGGGTTAGCGCACGAATCTAACTGAACTACTGAGTTCACAAGTCCCCCATTAACAAACATACATTAAAAAAAATATCCAACGTAAAATAAAATCACTGCATTATTCAATCACAAACCAACTACATCATTTAAACTCCAAACAGATCACTGACCCAGTTCTGTAAGCACTCAAATCTCAAAGGCATGTTTTCTGTCTAACCTGCAGGTTGATGTCTGCTGAGTGCTCCGTCAACACTCTCACCACATCCGTGAAGCCTTTATTGACAGCGATGTGCAGCGCCGTACACATGGAGTTATTCAGCAGGTTCACACTGGCTCCTTTACTGAGCAGCAAGCGTGCGATTTCTGCCTGATTCCTGCACACACAGCACACAAACCACATACCAGACACACACAAACACAGCCGGAAACACATTAGATGAGGAAAATCAGGGGGAACGCATTACAAGTAACGCGAGTTACGTAATCAGGTCATTGATCAGAATGGTTTATTTTTTAGTGAGCCAATGTTTAAAAATGCTAACTTGATGGCACTACTTTGTATCTTTACAGCAATCTTAGTTTGGTGCCTAATAGGCCGCAGATTAGATGGGTCAGCCATATGGTTTGAGAAGGCCTTAGACTTTCTATCACGTGATAAAACAGAAATAGAGAAAGCTACAGGCACACTGGGTTCCCGCTTGTTCTGTAAACATTTGTAAATGTTGCTGCTATTATAGCGATAATTAAACTCAAACAGCCAGGCTAATATGTTTTACTGGAGCATGAGGTGTGTTTTCTGTCTAACCTGCAGGTTGATGTCTGCTGAGTGCTCCGTCAACACTCTCACCACATCCGTGAAGCCTTTATTGACAGCGATGTGCAGCGCCGTACACATGGAGTTATTCAGCAGGTTCACACTGGCTCCTTTACTGAGCAGCAAGCGTGCGATTTCTGCCTGATTCCTGCACACACAGCACACAAACCACATACCAGACACACACAAACACAGCCGGAAACACATTAGATGAGGAAAATCAGGGGGAACGCATTACAAGTAACGCGAGTTACGTAATCAGATTACTTTTTTTAAGTAACTAGTAAAGTAACGCATTACTTTTTTAATTTAGAAGGAAATATCAGAATTACTTTTTCAAATATGTAACAGCAGCTACTTTGTTTCCATGTATTGAGTGACAGCTCTGGTGTTACCATGGTGACAGAAATCAGGAGTAAGTGCAGAGCGTTGTGTGTGAACATGATCTTACTGTAGCTCTAGACTAAATATCAACATGTGTTTACTCATCTCACTGCACACAAACACATTCAGTGTTCCTCAAAATCAATAAATACTGTCAAATGCAAACTCAGAATATTATACAAACCTGCAATAATTAAATATGTTAAATAAGACAAATATAATTTATGTATTTAATCCCATTTTATTAACCAATGTCTTTGCTACTGACCTTCGATGATCCAATTCAACCATAATATAAGCAAAAATAACACATTTGTGTTTCATTTGTGTTATTGCTGAATAGTGCTGAACTTTCTTCTGCTGCGTCATATTCTTCATGCAGTTTGTTTGAGCGGCGCCCTCTACTGTACAGACGTGAATTTACATTTCCTTCAGCCTGAGGCGGATTAATTTCACTTCTGTTGTGGGTTTTTGAGGATTAAACTTTACACTTTTAAGGAGGCCTTGAGAGACTTTTAAGACGACTAGAACCTGGAGGTCAAGTTCACACTTCAGAGCATCAAATCAGCTAAATGAGCTAAACTAAAAAGCTTTATAGCCAAACATTCATCTAACTCGTATGAGGAACTAGTAATTCAGCTACATCAGTCAGATCTGCCAAAATCACACCGAGTGCCCCAAATCATGTCCAACTGATGATCCAGATCACTTTGTCAACCACTAGGACCTAAAGACATCAAACCACTGACAATATAATTGCCCTTACATGTACTTTAGAAGTTCTATAATGTCATGATTTAGTCTGACTGAAATCATACCAGCCGTGTTTTTGCAAAGTGGACAAACAGAACTAGATAATGCCACTGTAGTTTAGTTTTGGTCTAGATGTATACACAATCAGACTACAGTCAGGCCTGGTGTGTTTTCTGAGAAACAGAGGTGACGCTTGTATTTAATCCTTTAAGTAATCAATTACAGTGAGGACTGTAACTCAACCACACAAAAAGCCACTGTAATGCACATGCTTAGCGTCTCTGGAATGTGCCTTCACATTAATGGGTTAAATACAGTTTACTGAGGACTAGCGGACTACACTGCCGTGTGCTCAGTAGTGTTCATTTTGTCAGCCATTTTTAATTGAGTCTTAGTCTGGTCTCAAATGTACCTTTTAGTTATGATGATATTTAGTCAACCTTGTCCTGTTAGGGTTAGGGTTTAAATCAATGAAATGTTGGTTTTTTCAGTTAATTATCAGCGCTTCTGCAATGAAGAGTTGCAAAATTAAGCAAAACACCGAGTGTATTCGTTTAACAGAGAAGCCATGATTTGGGGATTTGAACTCTTGATATCTGGCAACCGCACACAAGAAAGCTTGCGTAGTAGAGGCGATTACAACAGTCCGCAATAATATTTTGTCTCCTTTTTTTTTTCGACGGAAAAATAGATTTTTGTTTAGTTTTTATTTTTTACAATACATTTTGGTGTTGTCTTTTATTGTCAGTGATACTGCATGTTGATATAGTCACAGTTATTGTTTATTGTCTCGTTTTAGTCATGGGAAAAAAGCTTGTCAATTAACATTTTTCACCATAGTTTCCGTTAATGAAATCAACACTAGTGCAAAAACACAGGTTGCCCTGCATCTAATACTTGTTAATGTACATGTAGCTTTTTCTTATAATTGTCATTGATAACCAAGGAATAAGGAATAAGTACTGGCTCTCACCCGAATGCTGTGTAGTGTAGCGCAGCATCTCCGTCCTCATCTTTAGCTTCAATGCTGCTGTTGGCCTGAAGCAGAAACTTCACCACCTCCACATGTCCCTGATGGGCAGCCACCTGCAGAGCCGTCTTCCCCTGGTTCTTAATATCCACCTGAACAGAGTCACACACAGCCTTCGCTCAAACACACTTCTGCAAAGACTCACTTTACCTTCCAATCAGACTGTCTAAAGAAATAGTTTACTCACCCTTATTCCATTTAAGATACAGATGAGTTTGTTTCTTCATCAGATTTGTAGAAATGTAGCATTGCATCAGTGTCTCAGCAATGGATGCTCTGCAGTGAATGGGTGCCGTCAGAATGAGAGTCCAAACAGCTGATAAAAACTATGGCTGCCCTCGACTAAAGATTTTTCTGGTCGACTAGTAGTCGTTCATTTTAGGCATTAGTCGACTATTAGTCGCACATTTATTATTAAACCATATAAATCATAATAATGAGCCTTTAATTGCCTACATAGCCTAATAGCACTCAAGTGCAAGCAAAAAAAGCTTGCCACAGCGCACCGGCAGATATAATAATTATGAATGTGTTAGGGAAAAACAGCAAGGAGGCTGCATTAACATTTTAATAACGTATTGATAAACTAGTGCATTCTTTGTTTTGGGCTTAAGAGATGAAGCCAGCGACACGGACTCGTCATGTCCGCAGTAGTGATGCGCCTGTATGCATGTTTCATATGGATTTGTCAGGGTTCTCCGTTTGCCTTGTGTTTGTTTCCTGTGTCTATGTGGTCTTGTTTGTCAGCACATGGCTTTGTTGATGTTTTTCTCAGCCGTGTGCTTCTCTAGCCCCTCCTCCTTGTTTCCTCTTTACCACACCCTCTCGTTAGCCCTTGTTGGTCTAATTGTTCTCACCTGTTCCTCGTGTGTCTTCCTCCCTATTTATAGTTCCCCTTGCCCTCTTGTATCTGTCTGTTTTGTAAATAAACCCTTGTCACTCCTTCAGCGATTGGGTCCTCCTTCCAGATCCCTGACAGAATTAGCTTACATAATCTGAGAATATTTGTTTTCCATTTGAATTGGTTCATTTGAAAGGAGACATTTCACTCTCTATAGATATATTTTTCGTGGCTACACAGAGTTTCACGCTCAAGTTCAAGGAGACCGAGACGGTGCTTTCATTATTTTACATAGCGCAATGTTTCATTGTTATTCTGAGTGCACACAAATAAACGTACGGTCTTTACAGATTCGAAAGATATATTACTCTTATCTGTATGACCAAAAATGAGGGAGTATTTTAAGAGCAAGTGAGCGCACCGGCGCCTCCATCTGTCCTGCATGAGCTACTGTTCAGCTTCCACTCTCCGCACACACACTTCTAGGTTAACATTAGATGAGCGGCCATGTAAAGTTGCTAATACTTACATATTTCAGATGATTAGCCATATTTGAGGTCGATGAATGATAGGCGAGCGTTTGGATGTCCTGCCCGATGTATTACCACATAGACCAGCCGTTAACGATCTGTCCATCACAGACTGCGTGACTGGATTTTTTTTTTCTGCGATTAATACATTTTGGTTAACCAAGCCTCTTCTCACTGACTAACGGTTAGTCGACTATTAGGGGGCAGCCCTAATAAAAACATCACAATAATCCACACCACTCCAGTCCATCAGTTAACATCTTAAAAAGACAAAAGCTGAAACAAATCCATCATTAAGATTTTTTAAACTAAAATATGAGTCCATAATCCATAATAACGCTTGCTCCAGTGAAAAAGAGCATCTCCTGTTGTCTCTCACATAATTGTTCAGAGCTGTTTTGGCTTGTAAACGCTGCTTGATCTGTGCAGATTTCTCTCCTGATTCAGACCAGAACACTTTTTCACTGGAGGAAGTGTTATTATGGATTATGGACTGGTATTTTAGTTAAAAACGTCTTAATGCTGGATTTGTTTCAGCTTTTGTCTTCTCCAGATGTTAACTGATGGACTGTGGATTAGTGTGGATTATTGCTGTGGATTACTTGTGGATTGTTGTGATGTTTTTATCAGCTGTTTGGACTCTCATTCTGACGGCACCCA